ATTAATTATTTATGCAGTTAATTAATTAGTTACTTGAATTATTCATATTTATTTTTATATATTTTTAAATTAATGTCGATTAATTTATTTTGTGTAATTTATTGTTGTCTAATTTATTTTGAATTAAATTATTCTATATTTAAAATATTTATTTCTTTAAAATAAAATTAGCCGTGAAATATGTTATTTTCTCTAGTCAATTGATTTCCGTTGTGCTTAATTTGAGTTTGAAATTGAATCTATTCAATAATTAAAATTCTTTTGAGTATGAGTATAAATCGGGATTTTGATAAAGTTGGTTGATATCCCCTTCGTTTCATTAATTCCATACTTAGTCTAATTTTTAGAATTTTCGTCTATTTAGCTGCGCTTGTTGGCGGAGAGCATGAATTAAGTTTCCTTAAAAATGGGATTGACAAACGAATAGTGTGAGGAGGATGCCGATTATCTTTATATGCGACTTGACTTGGCAAAAAAAAAAATCGACGCAAAAAAATGTCAAAATTAATTTATTATCGGTAGCAATGTCTACCGGGCCGCCTTGTTTCTTAATTTATGATTTATTATGGCGGTTTATTTAAAGCTTTGAGTCGTCGCATCATTTTTTAGAAGCTACTCCGAACACTTAAGTTTGAAAATATTTCGGGAGACATAATTTCGAATCTTTGCAGATGAGCAATATCGCGTAAATGGCTTAAGGATCTGAACTTTAGCTAAGATTCGTTTACACACCACCGTTGATATTGCTGACAATATTGAGTCCTTATTTAGAAAATACTTGATTTAATTTCATTAATTGAATTTATTCGAGAACGAATAAAGGTTAAGTGTGAGGAGTTACCTATTTGGAATAAATCTGAAAATACAGTTTCTGAAATTAAAAGCAATGTTGGAATTGTTTCAAATAATAGTAATGAGATTGAAAGTTACCTATTTGTTAGAGATGAGGCTAGGAATAGTTCTAAAGTGTTCTCTATGTTTGGTAATTTTGATTCATCTTCTTTTCCTAGAAGTATGTTTGAGAACTTAGATGTGGAGGAACCTATGAGTGATAGGAAATTGTTTAATCCCGAAAGTAAGTCTCAATGTTTAGTGGTAAAAGAAGATAAGAGCTCATTAGTTGATAATAAGTGTTTGAAATCAATTCCTAGGTTTTGTCATTGATAATAATTGGCTTCTTTGCATTCTGTTATCATGGGTTGTGAACGATCTGAAACTTGTGAAGTTTGCTACTGTATTTGTTTGTATATTGTGTGCTACATGTTTTGGTTGTACTACACATTTACAATGTAATATAGTTCTGTCGAAGTTTGGATTTAAATGTATTCTTGCTGTTGAAGATACAATGTTGTGGAAAATTAAGAAATTTGTATCTTGTTTGAAAATTATATGTTTTGATATATTTGATTAGTTGTGGTTTACACATGTGTAGATGGTAGACTAATTTAATGTATTTCTAACTAAATTCTTTTTTTTTTGTTGTGCAGGTAAGTAATCCAAACTATTGGGCAGTGATGACCCTAGTCACCCATAACCAAAATTTGGTGGAGGATTGTTATAAAATTTTAGTTGATGATAATTTTGGAAACTATTATTGGATCCATACACAAACACATACACACATATATATATTGTGGCCCAATTAAACTTGGCCCCAACCCATAATCCGTGATCCAACCCTCCAACCCGGTTACATAACCCGACCCGCATATACTTACCTAGACTTGCTGTGGACCGTTTGATCAAGGGTTTTAACCCTGGCCGTCTGATCTGATCTAACCTACATATATATATATATGTGTAGAGAGAGGGAGCCGCACATATACTTACCCTCACTCTCTCTATCTAAAACGCTCTCACCTCTCTCTACTCTCGCCTCTCTCAAAACACCTCTTTCTTGGCGATATTTTGGCGATCTTCTCCGGCGACCTCCGACGAGCTTCTTTCTCCTGTTTTCTATGGAGATTAAAGGTGCTATCATTCCCCCGGTCTCGATTCGAACTGCAAGGGGTTCGACATCGAGTTTGGCCTTCGGTTTATGTGGTTCTTTTTTTTTTTTGGCCGCTGTTCTACCGTTGCTTTGTTTTTCCTTAATTGTGGGGGTTGTTTTCGGTCTAGGTTGTGGGTCTTGGACCGGTTTGGTTGTGTATGTCGCATTTTATGCTGTGTTTGTGTCGATTTTATGCTTTAGTGGGTGATATTGGGGGCTGAGCCTAAAAACCAAGCCCTAATTTAGACTTTTCTTTGTTTTTGTTGATTTTTCTTTAATAAAATCAAATTTATTCCGCGTTTATTTCGTAACACTCCCTCTTCTTCTTCAATTGAATTGATATGGATGAGGTGGGGGGTGGGGATTATTACCCCGCCCCACCGCCTTACTTTACCTTTTTTTTTAATTATTTATTTTAATTAGTATTATTATTATATTTTATTATTATTATTATTATTATTATTATTATTATTCTATTTATTTTACTTTCTAACTACAAATAATTTTTCAAGTGATTTATATTTAACTTACACAACTAACATCCAAATAATTTACCCAACCTATTTGTTTCCTACTAGAATCTCAGATAAATTATAATAATATTTTCTTATTAATGAACAGGTAAGACATATACCAAATTATAAACAATTTAACATATAAGTAATTTACCAGCACCTAAAATATGAAATATATATTGGCCAATGAGTAGTGAGAAGCTCGGGTATCACAGCCATCCTCTCGGACGAACTATTGCCCTCCACACGCGAAGCGGCACCTTCAGGACGTAAATTCTTTTGGATGGACAGCCCATGGAAGGCGTCCGACAACTCATTCGCCGTTCTTTTCTTGATTCGCCATATGAATAATTTTTTCCGATTGTAATCGCATACGCCGTTGCGTCCCACTGGGCGTGCCAATTATGTTGGCCTGGAAAATAATTTTCAGCCTAAAACTTCTCGCCGGGAGTTTTGGTGCGTTCCCGGGCAACTTGATGCGAATCCCCAGTGATATGCGATAAATTTAAGAATAAATTACACAAAAATAATCAAAGAAAAGACGGCGCCAACGAGTTGTATTGATTTAAGATCGATTCAACATTATTCTACAAAAACAAACGAAGAAAAAATGCAAGGAAAATGTAAAGAAAAGAAAGATATTTTTGTGGATTGAGATGTGTTCTGCTTCCACACGAGCGTCAAGGTCCGCTCTGATACCAGAGTTGGGACTGGTCTCAACACTAGTATAATATTGTCCGTTTTTGGCTAAACTTATACGAATTTGTTTTTGGATTTCCTCCAAAAGACCTCATAGTAGTGGAGTTCACTTGAAACTTATAAGGTGTATAATTTTGTTCACAACTTCCAATGTGGGATTTGAGTTTGCACTCCAATAGGAAACATATGTTATATAACATGAATAAATACCTTATATAATATTTTAAATAAAAGTTAATGTTTAATATGACATAAAAAATAAAAAAGATAGAATTTATTTTTTTTAAAATATAATTTTATTTTTTTTAATTTGAACTTGTATCTAATATTTTGTTAAAAAGTTATGTATATATATATATATTTAAAAAATTACAATTATTATACTCTAAAAAAATTAAAATCAATCTAAAAAATATAACATTCATGTATCATTATTATTATTATTATTATTATTATTATTATTATTATTATTATTATTTAACTATCTCTGTCATATTTATTATTTATACAACAAGCATGCATAACCATGTTTTTGGATATATGTTCATCAACTACAGGTACCTATCTATTAGAAAAAAGAAAAAATACATATAAATAATTTTTTTGCTAATAATTAACAGACTCTATCTGTTCCATTAACTTCAATATAAAATTTGACAAAACAAATATAAATAGGTAATTTGTTGTTAATGCACTAAAATTTGCACAATATGACATTAACCTGTAATTCCATGCAACCCAAATGGTTGCCATGTCACATGTAGTCAATCTACTCTTGTTTTTATCGTCACCAACTAGGAAGTAAAATAAAGATTTTTCTACCAATATACGTTTTAGAATCACCAAAATTAATAAATTTACACACATACAGAAAGTGATGAATTTGTTCTCTTACTCTTCTATCCCCAAACAATCTACAATTAATTATAAGAGCACTTAAGTTTGGCTAGATCACATTCGAATAGCAGCAGTTGTGAATTCCCTTGTTATAAAAAGAAAAAATAAATTATAGAAGTACTTACACAAATGTCATTACTTTTATATCATACACTATTCATAGGGTTAATTTAGTCTTTTTATCTTTTATTTATACTTTATCTCAATATAATACTAATATTTTTTAAATTCCGTGCAAAAAGCAAATAGATATCTATATATGGGACGGAAAGAGTATATGTTTAAGATGAATAAGTATAGTCCCATAAAGAATGATTTGGTGGTATGAGGATGAACTCGTGACCGTGAAGACAGGAAAGAGACACAACAAAAATATGGAGGTTAAACACCATTATATTGTCCAAGGCACAAAATATAAAATTAATTTGATCAGCTAAACTCTAACTTTACTTGGACCAAGATATAGCCATAATGCGGGTTTGGAGAGATCATGCTTTGACATGAATAACTAATGCCTAAGGTGATTTATTATTCCTTTCTACCTTAGCAATAAGTAAATAAATATACTAAAGTACATCATTTAGGGTATGTAATTTGTTAATATATATATATGTATTTATATAACATGAACATGAGTATACAATCTAATACTTACATTGGCTAAATCCACGAGGGGCAAAACTATCAAAGAAATTTGCAATATGTTTATCAAAGTTGATCATATAGTTCAATGACAGAAAAATTGGTTTAAAATAACTTTTATATTAGTTTAAGTATTTTGGTTTGGTACCAACTCTTCGGTTAAATGTCCTTATCGTGGCTTTGTAAGCCCAAGCTCTTGGGACTTGCTACAACGGGCGCATGACATAGGTCAAGGCTGTTTGGGATTTTGAGTTTGAACAATTGGTTAGGCTACACCTTTGGAGAGTTGTCCCAGCATAGATCCATACACCTAGTAGACAAACACACACACACACACACAAACATGTAGTCTCTCGAGTCCCAGGACCTTCCCTCCGAATGAGCACAAGATCTGTTGTCTCCTCTCCTCCTCCTCCTCCGCGTTTTCGGTGTGTCCCTTGCCACATGTATGTATGTATGTATATATATATCTGTAAAGTGTCCCAGTCCCAGGCATAAATAAATACTACTCCAAATAAGTTATATCCTTTAATTTCCTGAGCAGATTCCCAGCTTCATCACACACACACAGCATCGGGATTGGATATCCATATGAAGAAGAATAATAGTAATAACTACAGGTGGTTCAGAGTGTCAGATATGATCCCAAATGCCTCCTCCTGCTTCTTCTCCAACTCCAAATCAAGAAATACAAATACAATTACCAACACAAACAAAACCCCAAAGACGACCAAGAAGATCAACAGCAAATTACAATCATCATCGTCATCTTCATCTTCATCTTCATGCAGGTACCAGGTGCAGCTGCAGCAGCAGTACTATCAAACCAATTCTCCCTCTCTTTCAGAATCAGAATCATCAACCTCCAAAAAACTCATCCATGACGTCCTCGTATCAGTATCACTCCCCCCAATTCTCACCAAACCGGCCACACCCCATCAAACAAACTCCCACTCCCAAATTAATCAACAACCTCCAATTCTCAATACCGCCAATCATAATAATAATGTCATAATGTCCTCCTCCAAGAATAAGAAGAAGAAGAAGATGGTATCATCATCGGCAGCGGCCGGCGGAGTCAGGATTCGGAGAAGGAGTTTCAGAGGATCATATTCATTTGTAGATGGAGATGGAAGAGAGGATATGATTATGAAGGTGAGAGAGAGAGTGGCCATAGTGAAGGAGTCGTTCGATCCAGAAAGGGATCTCAGGGAATCCATCATGGAGATGATCATGATCCACATGGAGATGGAGATGAAGAAGAAGACGAAGAAGAATATGATGATTCATGAGTCGTCCTCACCATTGTTGGACGAAATTCTTTCTTCTTACTTGTCACTCAACTCACCTCACTATCATCACCTCATTATCAAAGTCTTTCACCATATCTGCTTAACCTTACCCTTAACTTCTTCTTCGCGTAACATAACAAGAAATTAAGATGAAGATTATGTCATGTCATATGTGACTATCGCATGATATTCAGTGTAATGGCTGCTTTTTACCTCAATTACTTTCTTTCTTAATATAATCCACATTTTTATTTATTAATTCATTCCACTTTCTTCTTTATATATATATATATAATATCACTTGTTTCATCTTTATTTATGGACAATGAAATAACTATAGAATTGAACTTTTGTTCCCCAATTACAGCAAGACTATTGTGCTGAAATCTTTTATTCAATTAAGCAATGATTCTATCAGATTTTGATGACATTTCAATAATAATGATAATATATCATCATTTATTTTTGTATATTGTTAAACAATAGAAATTCATGTTTATTTGCTCAGTTTATAATTACTATAAAAAAAATTATCAATGAAGAATGAAAAAAGTACAACAAGAGTTTGCTTACAGCCAATTGAGTTGCATGTGTGTGCTTTTTTGTTTATTTGTTTTTTCCTTTTTCTTTTGGTAATGCAATAGTATGAAAATCATGTATTCTCTTTCTTTTGATTTTTTTTTTTTTTTTGATAAACGTGAATAAAAAGATGTCCACAAATTTGAAATTAACAAAATTAATATATATATATATATATATATATAATTGAGTGAATAAAGTGAGGTAGGGGCCGTAGGGCTAAAAAACAAAGGTACTGCATTTGCATTTGCATTTGAATTGTTGTGGAAAGTTGGTACAATGAGAATATAATTATCTACTTCTAGGGGGCCCTTATCTTTCATGCCTCACCCCCCCTGTTTCTAAAATTGGATACTTTATTTATGCAGTCCATTTAATTTTAAATATTCTATCCATCCATAATTTTATACATTTATTTTATAATTTTGAATTTTCAAGAATATATTTATTTAATTTTAAAAAACATTTATGTTAATGTACTATTATATATAAAATATTATTTCTTCCGCCTCATTTTGTCTATACATTGTGGTTTATATCTGTTTTACATCTAATCTCATGTTGTTAAAAAATGATTGTACACTTAAATCTTATTTAAATTTTTTTTAGTTTTAATTAAATTTTAATTAATTATTTTAATATTAATTTTTAATTATTTATATTATAAGATAATTATTTTTACTAATATATTGTTCTCTTAAATTTTTGTCTCTACAATAATCCAACCACAATAGCCGAGACCGAGGGAGTAATATTTTATAATCAGTATGATATAAGCAAATGAGCATATATAATATATTTAGATATTATATACTCCATCCATCCTGCCTTTTATACCTAGTTTTATGTAGATACGGAAATTTATGTGTATCACTAAAAATAATTATTATATAATATAAATAATTATGAATTAAAATTAAAATTAAAATAATTAATTAATTTAATTAAAATAAAAAATATTATTAATTATAAAATTTAAAATATAATTAAAACGTATAATTATATAAGATGAGACAAATGAAAAAAAAAAAGACAAATAAAATAAAGCCGAAAGGAATACATATAAGGAGCATATATATATATATATTTTTTTTCTTCAATTTATTTCCTTATTTTATAGTTTATATATTTTTTTTATAAAAATATTATATTTTAATAATAAAATATTATATTTTAACAATCATTTAAATACAAAATACATATTTATAACACAAATACAAGCACACCTAACCAATCAACTCCCACGTGTCACAAGCAAATCCCGTCCCACCACCTAAAACCATAAACAATGCAAAACACTATATTTTGCTTTCCCCAACTCTTCTCTGCGTCATTTTACTGTCAGCTTAAAAATCTATTAAGAATTTATCCAATTTTTTATTCACATTATAGAATCGAGTTTGGTGTTCTCAAATTTTTTTATTCCATATCAACAAATTTAGTATTTTATTTAATACAATATTTTAAGTTATTTTAAATTAATGTATAATTTATGCATAAATTATTTAATAAAAAATAAATCATAATAAAATAAAATAAAATCATTATAATAATTACTAAAAATATAATTATTTTATAAAATAAAAAAATAATAATTTAACATATTATTTAATATTTTAATAATTTATTTTATTTAAATTTAAATATTATAATATCATTATAATATATAAAATATATTCTATAAAAATATATATTTTTCTCTCTCGAAAGAGAGAGCACAAAATCCGTTCTTAGTTTATTCTTGCAGTAAAATGCATTTTTTCTGTTTCTTTTCTTCTTTTTTTTCTTTTTTCTTTTTCTCTTTTTTTTTTTATTTTTTTTTATTTTTATTTTTTTTAACTAGAGGGCAAAGTCACACCAATCAGACAATTCTTCAAAATTGTAGAAACCTGCTTTAAACATGCTCTAATGGTAGATGAGTATTGGTTTAGGAAGGGATGATATAATACTATGAATGCTTTTATAGATTTTATCTACCATGCATGATTCGATTAGTGTAATTTATTTTGGTATATTTGCATCATCTATTTACAATAATTTATTTATTTTTTCTCTAAACAAATTATATAATATTTATTCAAATATAACACTCCTTTCGTCCTAGCTAATTTATCTATTTTAGCTTAGGCATAAAGTTTTAGGTATTGTATAATTAATAAGTAATTAAAAACTGTATTAATAAAAATAATTATGATTTAATAAATATAATTATAGATTAAAATTAAAATAACTAAATAGTTTAATTAAAATAAAAAATTAGAAATTAGAAATTTTACAATATGATTGAATTGTATAATTATATTTTAGAAAATAAAAGAATAAATTATGTGTTACAGACGAAAATAGAAAAAATGAACAATTTAAATAGACAGAGAGAGTATATAATTTTTTAATTTAAAATATCACATTGAATAAATTATTTAAATTCACAAATTTATTGTTCCCAAAATACACCAAATCAAACAAACAAGAATTTGTTCTTATTAATCCCGTAAGGATGGCCTGGTGATGTGAGGAGTGAACTTGTGACAATGAGGTAATGATTTTAAACTCCGATGCCTCCAAATGTACCTATCACACATGATTCATCTGATATGACGTGCCTTATCGGACCTAATTTACATTCCCAAATTCTAAAAAAAAAACATAAGAGTTTGTTCTTATTAGAAGTATATATATATATATATTTAATCTCAATATATATATATTTTTTTTATAAAATATATTGTATGCAATAAAAATTTCATCTGAAAAATCTCTAGAAATAAATTTCAATTTAAGACAATTTCTTTTTACTTAAATATAAGTGGGGACAGTTTTTCTTAAAATATGAGATTTATTTAAATATTGAAAACACAGGGATGTCGAAATTAGTTGTGGATGCAGGTGAAGATATAAAACTTATACATAGTAAGAGGATCAATATCAAAATTCTTGAATTTCATAAAAATAAAATAAATAAAAATTCAACCAACCAACCCAACAAACAAACTTGTTGATAGATAGATAATGTTACATCCAAACTAATTTTAGGTAACTAGAATAGTAGTTGGAGTTTAGGAGAATTGAACCTAAAATTCATCGGATCGGATTCTCGGTTAGGGTGTCAATTTGTGTTTTCGGGTTGTGTTTTTGAGCTATAAAAGTAACAAAAAATCCGTCAATTCGAATTTGACTCGAGCCCGAAATTTGACCTGAAACTCTAGACTTAAACACGATACGAATTTTTTTAGATCGGGTTCAGGTTGACCTGAATTAGTTTCAGGTCACCCGAATCCGAACAAATCCGACATGATTCAGGTCAACCCCAAACACAAAACCCGAAACCTGACCTGATTTTTATATTGCGGATTATTAGGTCAACCCGAAACACAACCCGAACACGACACTATATTATTTTGCAAACCCGAAATACCCAAATCCGAACCTGAAAAATTTCAAATCGAACGAGTTCGATTTTTTGGATTGAGTTTAATTTTGACACCTCTAATCCTCAGTCGCCTCAGTGTATTCAGTTTAACCTCTATAAATTAGTCGTGTGTATTTGTAATGTTTATTTTTTTTTCTTTTGAATAAAAAATTAATTATTTCAAGAAAAATTGCAAATCATACAGTCTCTTTCATTTCCTTACTTCTCCTTGTTATGAATTTTAAAGACCGAAAACGAGATTTTATTAACAAAATCGTAATACTTTGAACTAGGGCTTAGTTTTATAGGCTCAGACCCCAATATCACCCAAGAAGAACAAAATCAACACACAAACACACAGCCGTGACTAACACAATCGAATCGGCCCTAATCCTTTTCTAAAACCCAAAACCAGCCCCACAGCAAGATAAGATGGCTTACAGAACAAAATTTGTGGACAAAGAAACACCACAGAAACAATCAAAGCCACCGAAACGAGAAGGAACTCTTTGCAGTTCGTAATCGTCAAAACAAAGGTGAGTATCCACGCTACAGCTTCCACAGATTAAGAGCAACAACAAAAAGAGGAACCAAGATCAGAACAGCATCGCGATGGTGGATTCTAGAGAGAGAGCAGAGAGAGTAAGGTAGAGAGTGAGTGGGGATATGAGTGAATGTGTGTATGTATCACACTGCGGCACCCCACCCCATCCAACCTTATATATTGAAGGTCAAAACCAGATCAATGGCCCAGATGTAATCCCTAGATCGGACGGTAATAGAGGCGTCTCTGATAAAAGACGCGGGTCAAAGACCGGGTCCCGAGTTGGCGGGTCCGGGGCGCAGGGCTAAGTAAAGGATCGGGCCAAGATTCAAATTGGGCCACAGATTGAAGGTTTGTGTGTATTTAGCGTGTGGATAACAATATTGGTCTCAACATAAATCTCATGGACCAAAATTTTATAACAATCCTTCACCTAATTTTGATAACAATCCTCCACCTAATTTTGATTATGGGTGACTAGGGATCATCATTGCCTAATATTGGATTATATACTTGCACAAAGAAAAAAAATATTCAAGTTAGTTAAAAATACATAATTTAGCCTACCATCTACATACATGTAGAACACAGCTAATCATATGTATCAAAACACATAACTTTCAAATAAGATACAAAATTTTTAATTTTCCAAAACATTGTATCTACAACAGCAGAAATATTTTTAAATCCAATTATTGACAAACCTACTCTACATTGTAAA